ATCAGAAGTTACTGTCAATTGACCTTGATAAAGTGGCTTTGCCCAGTTTTCGACAGAACCGACCCCAAGTGCGGCCATTGTCCCCTGGAGAAAGTGGTGCATGGGATATTCCTGGAGGTAAATATTGAAAAGTTTGAAAGCCACTGTTTTGTTTTGCTTTTAGTATAAGCTTTGAAAAACAGCGCAGTCAGAAGAGAGGCCATATGTTTATTTTCAGTTGTGAAAAACATGCCAATAATAGTGTGGCTGTGTTGTAACAACCTAAGAGAAATAGTTTTGCATGTGAATAGTTTATTCAGAAGCATGAATGGCATACTGAGAGGAAGATTTTGATGGGTGATTTTTGGGTTGTTGAAGTTTGTTTTGGTGCTGTTTAGACTGATGGGTGCCTGCAGCAGTCCCTGTCCTTAGGAGCTGTGGCTGGATATCTCCTGCTAATTAAAATTCCGTGTGTCAGTGCACAAGAGCAAAGTTCAGAAGAGTTTGAATGGTGCCCTGGGCAAGGTGTTACACTAACAAATGATGCTGAGCACTTGAAACAGATTTAAGTCTAATGGTGGGCTGTGCAAGCTTGGCACTGCAGGTTCCGCTGGAAGCAGTATGAAAGCATCACATGAAAGCTGCTAGGCCAAAAGATACCTGCGAAAACAAAGGGTCTGGTTCTGTAGCTCATCCTCATCATCTGTGTGCACAGTCTCTGGAGCAAGCACTCAGTCACTTTCCTTATAGCATCAGGATTTGGTGTGATTTATAGAAATCAGTGATAAAATCATGGTCAAATGTTTGATCTCCCTTCTAATGCAGAACAGATGATTGCTGTTGCAGGGGAAATCTGGGTTATACTTTCATGTGCCCAAATAAGTAGAAGTGGAAATGCTTTTCTGTAATATTTGCATCCTTATTTTTGGTAATCATTCTGCAGTTGTTAATCTTCCTGTCTGAGATGTAATCTGATTAATAGCTGTTTGTCTTTGAACAAAAGTTACTATTTGGTCTTTTGGTAGATGGTGCTAACACTGTGAAGACATTGTCGTTCATGTGGTCACTAGTCACTTCCAAACCTCTTTGCCTTTCTAGGTATAATGCCTGGCCGGTACAACCAGGATGTAGGACAGACTATTCCAGTCTTTGCTTTTCTTGGTGCCATGGTGGTTCTGGCGTTCTTTGTGGTACAGATCAACAAAGCGAAGAGCAGGCCAAAGAGACGGAAACCACGAGTGAAGCGACCACAGCTCATGCAGCAGGTTCACCCACCAAAGACGCCTTCGGTGTGAAAGCTCTCGCTTGCCAAAGATGACCTCCTTGTACCAGCTGCTTTCCTGGGTCATCCATGGTCCCCAGTGAAGGTGCTGGTCATGTTAGTGGTCCACACGTGACATCATCTCATAGTCTTTGGTTGAGTAAAAAAAGGACCGCAGTTGATCATCTGTACGTAAAACAGCAGCTTTGAGCAGCCGAAGCCACCAAAGACTTGAATACTGTTTAAATGGCTGCTTAGTCACTACATATCTCAAGAGGGGGGAAAACAGATCTTTTTTTTTAAGCTGACCAAACTAAAATTTATTTGTTTAGAGGCTATTTTCTATATTTATTTTGGGGGAGGGTGGGGGGGGGGAAGTCACTTTAAGGACCTCTGCTAAGGAAAAAGTGCATTTTTTTGGATGGAATGTAATTTTCTAGAACGGTATTATGCTGAAAAGTAATGTGCACCATGACAGGAGGGAAGGGGATGAGGTAGACCAGTATAAACCAGTGAGACATACTCCTGCAGTTTATTTTTATAATGCCAACTACCATGATGTTTTTGTAATTTTTGGTCATGATTTCACCATTGTTGGTGAAGCAGATTTTCAGATTTTCAATAAATATGTTATCTATATGAAGCAAAGACATGAGCTGCCTGGCTCTGCTTTCCACTGCTGGTCACAGAGAGCAAGTTGCAGTCAAGTTGCAGGCTTTCCTTTGGAGCACAACCTGGGGAGTGATGCAAATGGCACTGGCCCCTCAGCAAGCACAGAAGAAACTTGTGTGGATGGTACTAACAGCATAGTGTGGTATGTCACAAAGCCAAAACCCTTGTCTCCTTTTGTTTGTCCTGGTTCAAAGCTTACAGCTGATCAGAGGTGATCGGAGGAGGGTCAAACTCATCAAAGATGCTCCAAGGCCTGGAGCATTCTGGGGACAGGCTGAGAGACCTGGGCTTGTTCAGCCTGGAGAAGATAAGGCTTTGGGGAGACCTTAGAGCAGCTTCCAGTGCCTAAAGGGGCTACAAGAAACCTGGAGAGGGGCTTTTAACAAGGGTCTGTAGGGACAGGACAAGGAGGAATGGCTTTAAATTGGAAGAGGGTAGATTTAGGTAAGGTATTAGGAAGTTCTTCATTATGAGGGTGATGATACACTGGCACAGGTTGCCCAGAGAAGTTGCGCCTGCCCTGTGCTTGGCAGAGTTCAAGGCAGTATGCCATCCCTGGCGGTGTTGGATAGGGCTTGTAGCAGTCTGGTCTAGTGGAAGGTGTCCCTGCCTGTGGCAGGGGGTTGGAACTACATGAGTATTTAAGACCCCTTCCAGCCTAAACTAGTCTATGATTCTATGACTTGTTGCAGGTTTAAATAAGGATGCCCTTATTTAAAGGCACAAGTTGCCTCTGACCCTCAGTTTTGGTTAACATTGCCATCACTAAAATACCTTTTTGTCTTTTGCAGTGAAGCTGTGAGGTTTCCCTGGCAGCTGCTTTTGTCACCGCTGCAAGTAACAGGACATTTTCCTAAGAGCAGGAGGGAACTGGTGGATGTCTCTGTCAGCAGAAGCAGTGCCCAGGAAGGAAAGTGGTCTTATGTACCAGCAAATAGTCCTGGTGAGCTCTTAGGCAGTTCACGGGCACCCATACCACCCTGGGCATGTCTGGAGGGGGAGAATGCCAGAGGCAGCCCCGCTGGGCCATCTGACTACATGGTTCAGGGCTTACAGTCATGGATTGTGGTGGTGGGCCTTGGGAAGGGTGCTGCAGGAGGGAATATTTCTCCATGTAGCCTGGAGCAACCTCCTAAGAGGTGGCTGTGGATCGGGTTTTGCAGGACACAAGTGTCCTGCAAAATGGATTAGGAAAACCCATTTTCCCTAACCCAGAGACCAGTTGGCTTTTCCCAGGCTGCCTTCCCCTCCAAAGATGAGGATGCACTGAGTGAGGCAATATCCTGTTGCCAAGACGGAAGGCGCTGAACTTTCACTTTGGAGCTGTTACTGGAAGGTCACTGGGGCTGAGGGGGTGGTCCTGAGATTGGGCTACTTGTGCCATCCCAGTCGCACTGGAGTGAGCCGCTGGAGTGAGTCCTTTCTCTCCAACCATGGTCCTGTGCTGGCAGGGAGGAGATTTTCTCCATCTCACCATGGCATCAGGGTCTCTTGCAGGACCAGCCAGCTCTGCAGGGCATAATGGTTACAAAAGAGCTGTCAGTAAAGGTGTAAGATCTCTAGGGCCAGACCTTGCAAGTAGCGCAAGGTGTAATTGTAGTTGGTGTTTGCAAGTCGACAGCCCGTTTTGAACAAATGAATTCATGTACCTTTGTCTTCAAAGACAATAATGTGGAAAATAGATTGTCAACCCTTTTCTATCAAAAAGAAGAGAGGAGGGCACCTGCTGAAGGCACACAGAGTGAGTAAAGCTGCCAGCCAACAGGAACCCTCAGGTTATGGCTTGTGGCCCAGTGACTGGAGCACCCAGATAAATGGGAGAAAGAGGGAAGAAAACAAGGGAGCTCAGAGCCACTGAGCAGAGAAATTGCTTGGGGCTGGTGTGGGAGGTGGGCTGCATCTCTTTGATTTGTGGCACTCCCATCAGAGGCAGCCTGGAAAGCTTTAGTCCTAATGAGGAGGGGCACTAATGAGAGATGACAGTTCCACCGCAGCATTCAAACCAGAGTCAAGCTCTATCAAAGCACCAGTCCGAATTAAGAGCCTTTCCCAGTGGCTGGTATTTTACAGCCCAGTGGCCAATTTCTAAATCGTAGAGGCCAATTATTTCCAAAGCCTTTGGTGTGCAGCTAATGAAGGCCTGGAAGGGCCCTGCTAAATGGTTCTAAACCCCGTAGGTGGCAGAGATGTAATGGAGGTGGCAGGCACAATTAGCCATCCATAATTCCTCCTAGCAGCTGATTAAAGTCTCTTTATCCATTTTACTGAGATCAGAAGGGCACATACTTGGGAAATCAAAAATGCATTAGGGGCTGTTGGCCAGCACTGGGGGCCTGTGTGCAGAGCCCCGGGGTGGTGGCATGTACTGAGAGTGACACAGAGGTGCGGCATGTCAACAGTGTAAGAGATGAGCCCATCATCCCCGGGGGGTATAGCCTTCTCTGTGTGGGTCCCCTGTGGCATCAGTTACCCCATCGTATTGTCCTAGCACCCCCCTTCCCTGTTTGGAGCAGGGGATGGGATGCTCCAAAGAGGTGGTGCCTTACTAAGGTCTCATGAGTGCAAGAGCACCCCAGTGGGCTTTTTTGCTGCAGAGACACTGAGGGGTAGTGGCTTCATCCTGTACTCAGTGGTGAAGCATCCATCAGTCAAATGGTCTGAAGGACGCTCACTGCAGCTCCCTTTCCTCACCCTCCCTGACCCGGGATACTCCAAAATGTTCCGTGGTGGGAATTGCGTGGATGGGGTGAATACCGCTGGAACGGGGAGCCCCCACGCTGAGCCCCGTGCTGGAAGCTTCTGGGGCTGCGGTTTTTCCTCGGTCTGTACGAGCTCTTTGAGGCTTGGGGGTGCCCACAGGCAGCGGGATACGACCGCTGGTCCCGAGCGGGGGAGGTGCATGAACCACGGTCCTCCCCCTGTCCATCCACCCGTCTTCAGGGCGATGCCGCTGCCCTGCCCCGAGATGCAGATGCAGCGGGATCAGGCGGGGGGTGTCCTCCCACGGCCGGTTCCTGCCCCGCCTCCCGCTGCCCACTCCCCGCTCCCTGCAGTAAGGGGGGTCCGCGGAGGCCCATCGCAAGGGTCAGCGTTGGCGCTGCCGGCCCGGCGCAGAGTCCCGCTGGGATGGAGCGGGCGGGCGAGGTCCGGCCCCTGCTGCCGCCGCAGGGTCCCGCCGGGCTCTCCTCTGCCGGCGCCGTCTGCATCCTGCTCAAGTCAGCGCTGGGAGCGGGGCTGCTGAGCTTCCCCTGGGCCTTCGGCAGGGCTGGCGGAGCTGTCCCGGCCCTCCTGGTGGAGCTGGTAAGGGGAGAGCGGGGGTCCGGGACCTGGGCGAGGGGCTGGCGGCAGCAGCGTCCTCGGAGAGCCCGCCACGGCGCTTGGGGGGCAGCGTCCACGTCCCAGGCCAGGCTGATGGGGGAATAGCGAGGGCAGGAGCTGCCACCTTGGAAATGCTCTTTGCATCAGCGTAACGTACAGTATAATTGGGTGAGTGGTATCAATTGATAGGCTGGAAAAATTGGGGCTGTTCAGCTTGGAGAAGAGAAGGCTGCGTAGAGACCTCGTAGCAGCCTTCCAGTATCTGAAGGGGGCCTACAAAGATGCTGGGGAGGGACTCCTGATCAGGGACTGTAGTGATAGGACAAGGGGTGATAGGTTTAACAGTGGAAATTAGGTTAGATAGAAGGAAGAAGTTCTTTATGGTGCCTCACCACTGGAACAGGTTGCCCAAAGAAGTGGTAAATGCTCCAACCCTGTCTTTGCAAGACCGGGGTGGACAGAGGCTTGGGCAACATGGTCTAGTGTGAAGCATCCCTGCCCATGGCAGGGGTTTGAAACTAGATGATCTTAAGGTCCTTTCCAATCCAAACCATTCTATGATTCTACCCTACATGCCCTAACCCACCAGACCTAAACCAAAAGCGTCACCTAGGGCTGGTTCTCCACCCATCTGCTGACCCATGTTACCTAGATGGCCACCTAATTGCTGGCCATGGCCCTGCTTGTCCCCCTGGGTCTGGGAGTGATGTGATGCTTCTTGATGGCTCCTGTCCCCACAGGGCTCGCTGGTTTTCCTGGTGAGTGGGCTGGCGGTGCTGGGCTACGCCGCAGCCCTCAGCGCCCAGCCCACCTACCAGGGAGTGGTCCGGGCTGTGTGCGGGGCAGCAGTGGGGAAGCTCTGCGAGGTCTGCTTCCTCCTCAACCTCTTCATGATTTCTGTGGCCCTCCTCAGGGTGGTGGGTGACCAGCTGGAGAAATGTGAGTTGTTTTCCTCTGTAGCTTGCTGGGGATTGAGGGGAAGGTGGTCCCATGTGGATTGGGAGCAGCCCCAGAATTTTCTTTGGATGCCTGAGGTCATGGAGCTCCCTGGCCTTGTCATGGTATGATGCTCCCGACCTCCGTGGGCCACCCTTTGGGCACAACTGACATCCCTGCTGCTCCCCACAGTGTGTGACTCCCTGTACCCCAATGGGACGCTAAGTGGGGCCCCCCTGTCACCCCCCTGGTATGCAGACCAGCGCTTCACCCTCTCAGCTCTCTGTGTCTTTGTCATCTTCCCGCTCTCTGTCCCCAAGGAGATCGGCTTCCAGAAGTACTCCAGGTACCACCTGGGATACCCCCATGATGTAGCCACCCCATGGCATCCTGTGCCCCAGGCCACCTCCTCCCAGGTCCCTGCATGGCCATGGGACCCTCCCCCCCCCCACCCTTCCTGGCTGCCAGGGGTCTGTGTGCTGATGCCCTCCCATGCCCCAGCAGCATCCTGGGCACGCTGGCTGCCTGTTACCTCACCCTGGTCATCATCCTGAAATACCACCTGCAGGCAGAGAGCCTGGGCTGGCCGGAGCCCTCCCAGCCCTCCAGGTAGGCGGGTCAGCCCCACATACCTCCCACTCTGGTCTCTATGGCATTAGCATGGGCAAGGGGTGGTCCTGGGTGATGGCATAGGGAGGAATGAGCTGGGGACAATGCTGGCAGTTTGGTGGGTGAGCGGCAGCCCCAGCTCCAGCTTTCACGCCAGCAATCCCCTCCTTCTCCCAAAATTACTGGCTGAGAGTTTCCTACCGTGGCATCCAGGCTTCACAGCTTATGCCATGCTCTGCGCTTCTTCCACTCCATGCCACAGGTCACCCTCCTGGGCCTCCATTTTTAGCGTCATCCCCACGATCTGCTTCGGCTTCCAGGTAGGTCACCCTGGCACCACTGTCCCTTGCTGCTGGGGCAGTGCTGGCAGCATCCTGGACCATGGGGACACTATTCCTTGCAGGGGGGTTGCAGGGAAGGGGACCCATTCTATGTCCAGTGGTGGCTGCAGGGCAGGACAGAAGCCCCTGGGGATGGGTGAGAGTGTAACAGGGCACCCCTGGGTGTGGGAGGGAAGGCACTGGGTATGGGAGTTGTCCCTGCATGGGGCCCCAGCAGCACCCCTCCTTGTTTTGCAGTGCCACGAGGCCTGTGTGGCCATCTACAGCAGCATGCGCAACCAGAGTTTCTTACACTGGATCGCTGTCTCTGTGGTCTCCATGCTCATCTGTCTGCTCATTTACTCCCTCACGGGTAACCCCAGCACCAGAGCCCTTCACCTCCTCCTTCTCCCGCTTGTCCTCATCTTTCTCTTGGCTCCTCTGTCCTCCTCATGACCACCCAACCCACTGCTCCTTTCACAGGGCTCTATGGCTACCTGACCTTCGGCGAGGCTGTGGCACCCGACGTCCTAATGTCCTACCCAGGGAACGACCCAGTTGTCATTGTTGCCCGCCTGCTCTTTGGTGTCTCCATCATTACCATTTACCCCATCGTGGTGCTGCTGGGCAGGTGAAGGGGTGGTGGCCAGCCAGGTGTCCCCTGGCCAGTGCAGCTCCACGGGGTGCTATCAGCCTTGCTGTTCCTCCGCAGGTCAGTGGTGAGGGATGTGTGGGTGACCCCCAAGCACAGAGCCATGGTAGTGCCCGAAGTGCAGGAGCAGCGGAGCCGGGTGGCACTGACAGTCACCTGGATGGCCACCACGCTCACCATTGCCCTCTTTGTCCCAGACATCGGCAAGGTCATTGAGCTCATTGGGGGCATCAGCGCCTTCTTCATCTTCATCTTCCCAGGCAAGAGTGAGCAGTGGGAGGCAGAGGAAGGGTGCTGGTACCAAAAGCATTGTTGGTGCAGGGTGGGTGCTGTGGTGGTGATGGGGAGTCCATCCTGGCCCCAATTTGAGGTGCAGGGACACGTGCATGGGGACACTGCTGCGGGGCCTGGGTGAGGGGTGCCAGGTGGTGGAGCTGAGCCTATGTGTTGGTGGCAGGGCTGTGCCTGGTGTGCATGACTGGGACCCGCACCCTCGGGCCACGCAAAAAGTGAGTGTCTGCACACTTGGGAGCGGTGGGGAAGGGCAGGGGGACAGCACCCCTTGATCCATGGCTCCAGCAGGGTCGCTGGGGTCATCCTGGCCAAGGCAGGAGGAGTCTCATGAGGAGGGGGATTTGGGGCACCTGTAGGCACTGACAGGAGGAGCCTGTGGCGGGGCTGAAAAGTGGGTATGGGGGGATGTGTTCCAACACTGGGGATGTGGCTGGGTACCAGGGTTGAGTCAAGGTACTGGGGAGGTGCCCATAAATTGGGAATGTGCCTGTGCACCAGGGGTGTGCCCAGGAATGAGGCTGTGCCTAGGTACGAGAGGTGTGCACAGGGATCAGGGATGTGTCTGAATACCAGACCCCTTGCAGCAAGGCTTAAAGGCACTGGGGCACACAGTGGAGACTTGGGTGGGGGTCAGAAGTCCATGGTGCTCCAAGGCTGTAGAAGCCCATGTCAGGGGGACCTGGCACGTTTCTGGTGAGTTTTGGGGTAGGTGTTTGCTGAAGTGTGTCTGTGCTCCTGGGGGAGTAGCAGAATCTGAGTGAGGATGGAGGTGATGTGTGTGGGGCCCTGTCCCCCATGGCAGCTGGTAGAGCACACCAGGGCCTTGGGGTCTTGGCCAGGATGGTGCACTGAGGGACGCACGGCTATCTGGGCAGGAGGGAGGGTGCCCTAGGGATGCCAAAGCACTGGGAGACCAATGCAGGCAGTGAGCAGTGGCACCGAGGTGAGCAGCAAGGACTTGGAGAGTTCCATCAGGGAGACCCACCAGAGTGTGACCCCAAGAGTGCCATCACCATGGGAGGGGACAGCACGAGCCAGGGCGATGGGGACAGCAATGGGACAGTCCCAGCCTGCCTGGGGCAGTTCGGGAAGGCGCACAGTGCTGATGACCCCACGATGGAGCAGCAGCAGCAGCAGTGTTTGGGGTGAGTGCTACTTCCTAAGGGCTTGGTGTTTGTCAGAGGCTGTGTGCCTGGGGAGAGGGCGACAGGGAGGTGTAGACCCACAGGTAGCAGGGCTGGGATGGAGCCGGGTAGGGGACATGTGGCAATGGGGCGGGGGGGTATGTGGAGATTGTGTGGATGTGGCTGTGCCTGAGCATGGCGGGGGGGGTGGGGTGGTGCGCAGATGTGCCCTGGGCCCCTTCGGCAGGGCCACCGGGTGCAGGCAGAACCGGGGATGCTCTCATGGTGGTGCTGTCAGGCTTCTGACCAAGTGCTGTGTGTCGTTGCAGTGGGGATGTGCCGGAGGGACTGCTGGGGTCTTCAGCCATCCGTGATGCAGAGGAGCGTGGCAGAGGAGGCTGAGACCCACAGAAGGCTCCACATATGGGGGTTCAGCGGGTTGCATGTTACTGGGGGTCAGTTTGGTCCCTCCAGCCCCTGCTCATGTTCCCGCAGGGCAGCTCTCATCACCTGGGGTGTCCTCTCCGTGCTCGGTGGTGCCTTCGTCTGCGGGCAGAGCGCTGCCCTGGCAGTGCTGGGGCTGCTGCGCTGAGGGGCCATGGACCCGCTTCATCGTGCACCCCCACATGACGCCCCCACCATACCCTCGGCACAGCTACACCTCTGGATCTCATCACGATTTTATTTGGCATGACCATCCCCATTATACAGAGGCTAATAAAGACAGGAGAGGGAATTGGTGAGGGCCCTGTGCCACACACCCCTCCAAAGGACCCCCAGACAAGGTGGGCTGGGGGCAGGATGAGCAGCGAGCTCCTCACGTGCACAGACAGACACACAGACAGAAGTACAGACCCCAGGAAGGGGGGCATCTATCCCCACATCTGCAAGGCACCCACTGCCACCATGAAGGAAACCCCCTGGGACTACCCACACCTCACAGGACTAAGGGGCACCCCCTTCACCACCACCCTGACCACCTCCCCGCACTCCTCAAGGGTCCCTATCCCTACAGGCACAGCCTGCTCCCCTGGGGACTAGCAGGGACCTCAGATTACCTCCCAGGGGGCCTTCAGCCTCCTGCTCCCACTCCCTGTTCCTTACCACCAGCTGCCGCTCCCTGCCCACCTGTGCACTGGGAAGCCACTCCTCAAACCCCGTGGGGGGAAATCCCCCGCAGCCCACCCCACTCCAGAAAGAGGTGATACAGGTGATGGGGTAGCTGGGGCAGAGGGGACCCTATGGGGTGCTGGGAACACACATTGGGGTTTCCTTCACTGCAGACAGGTCACACTGACCCACACAGGGGTCACAGCCACCCCACAGCAGGGCTGGCACCAGCGGTCACTCTCGGCTCAAGGTGCACCAGGCAGCTGCAGGGGACAGGACCAGAGGGTCAGCCCTGTCCAGCCCTGCATCATCCTGACCCCCCACCCCTACTCCCCACACTGGGAGTGGTGCCGGCTGCTCCGGGGTCCCTGTGCCCACCCCAAGGGATGGACACCCTCCTACCTGGCACAGCCACACTGGAGATGGCCTCAGGCTGGCTCAGCGTGTCCACCTTGACGTGCTGGAAGCCCTTGCAGGTGGCACTCTGCAGGTGCCTGCACCGGGGTGGGAGACAGTGGGTGACAGTGTCCCACCAAATCACCATCCCAGCACCCTGCCACCCCATTGCCTCTGGCAGGGGCTGGGTGACAGCAGCCTCTTCATCCTCAGGCAAAGCACCCTCCCATGGCTTAGGACAGTGAGACCTCCCTCCCATCCCCTATGTCTAAAAGCACCCCCGGTGGGACATGCACAGAGACATCCCAAGCCCCTCATACCCTTTACAGTGACAGCCCTAAGACAGACAGACATATCCTCACCCCTGCCATCTGACAGGGGACAGAGCTTGGGGCTCAGCAGCTCCAACACCCCTCCACAACCAAGGACCCCACCCAAACCAAGGTTTTTTACCCCTTCCCTACCTCTTCCAATCCTCCTCAGTCTCCCAGAACTCATAGACGATGAAGGTGACCCCATCGGGCAGCTTCACGGCAGTGACACTGGCAGGAGTGAGGAGAGGGGTGAGCCCTAAACCATGGGGCATGCCCCTCCCCCTCCCCTCTCAGCCTCTGCAGCCCCCGATGAGTGACCCCAGCCCCAGCAGTCCAAGTGAATGGGAACTCCCCTTCAACACCTCACCCCAAACAAAAGGGTTTTGGTGGCCGAGCATCACTGCGCCCCAAATCCTGGCTGCTTTGCCACAGCCCTTCACTTGGCAGAGTGCCCATTGCTGCAAGGGCAGCTGGACACCCCTGTGCCCACCCCCCAAGCCCCTTTGTCCCCCATGCACATCTGCTGGTGGTACGCACTGGAAGCAGTCCCGCTCCCCGGCCACGCTCTTCAGGTATTGCTTCAAGGAGCTGCAGAACTCACTCAGGTGCTTGTGTGACACCGTCATCTCATCCCGCACCAGGAGGAGGTACTGCTGGGCCCCCAAAACACAGCAGTATGACAGACCCCCAAAAACATGGTGACACCCCCCACCCCAGGGGCAATGCACACCGCAGGGACACCCCAGCACCCCAGGGTGCTCTCACCGTGCAAGCCGTGCTCTCACTGTCTGACAGCCGCTGGTGCAGGTCAAACCAGAGGGTCTGGGGAAGGGGGAAAAGCAGTGGGAGGGTGGGCTGAGGTTGTGTGTCCCTCCCAGGCTGGTGGGTTTCTGTCCCCAGTGCCTGGGGACATGATGGGCTGTGCCCCCTTCTCTGCAGGGAGGGCTCTGAGACCCATTTGCCCCTTCCGTAAGGACACTCTGCAGAGGCTCCCTGAGCAGCCAACATCCTCACCACCATGTCCTCACACTAGTCCCAAGACAGCCGTCACCTTTCAGTCCCTGATTGTCCCTGGGGTAGGGGAACCATCTCTCCTCAGTGGCTACTTGTGCTTTCCCAGCCCTTGGGACACTGTTTCCTTGGGCAACCATGGTTAACACTTTTCTGCCCTCACCCTTCACAGCACCTCTCTGCCCCCATGTACAGCACCACCTTTTCGCTGCCTCCTTACGTCCTGAAAGCACAAACCAGAAGGATTTTGGGAACATCTCTTGTACTAACATTTTCTCTTTCAATCCCTAGATGGAGTAAGGCTGCCTCTGCAAGAGCTGTTGCCTTCTTCCTTCCTTATGTTTTTTTCTTGTTTAAATAAACCCACAGTTAAACATTCCACATTACAATAGCTGCCATCAGCTTATCAGGTGTAATATCCTCCAACCCCACCATCACCCACCCAGCTCCCATCACCATGCACGCATGTTCCCACCAGCACCACTTCTTGGTCATCTCAGTGCCAACCAGGACAGGAAGCTGTGGGCCCCAGGGACAGCCCCATGTGTGGAAACGCTGGCCCTTACCTTGTCCTCCAGCTTGCCAATCAGCTCAGCCAGCCTGTTGATCTGCCTCTCCAGGCCCTCCACCTTGGTGTCAGGGGAACCTGTGTGGAGCCAGGAGGCAGCGATGGAGAGGCCTGCCTCCATCTCCTCTCTGCCTCCCAGAGAGGCACCCCTGGGCACCCTGAGAGCCCTGCTGCTCTCTGGGGAAGTCTAGCATTACCTCCACGATGCTGCTGGGACCACAGCTCCCTTCCCTGAGCACCCTGAGTCATCTCAGGCTGTGAGTACAGCTGGAAGCAGCCATCACTTACCACTCTGGAAGGTCTTCCCCTGCTCCCTGGGGACCATCCAGCTGGTGGGAGAGTAGCTGGGCACAGGGCTGTCGTACCAGGTCTCCATCAGACCATGGCCTGTCTTGCTGGGGTAGTGCCTGCAACCAGAGAGCACACAGGCCATCATGGGGGGCAGAGCTGGGCACATACAGTTGAGTGTAAGCCAGTCCCAGGGAGCTGACATTGGAGTGTCCTCTTTGGCACTTCTGCCACCAGCTCCAGACCCCTTGGAGAGCAGCAGCGCTCACACAGCACAGGCTTCCCTTCAGTGCCATCATTCAGCATTAAAAGCAGCATCAGCAGGCTGCTCCCAGCAGCCATCACTTTTCTTTCCTGCTTAGGAAACACTTGAACTGCCCATCTCTTGCAGCCTGCAAGTATATTTACTCCTCTAAACAAACACCACAGCAGTGGGGCACCTGTAGCTATGTCCAGGCAGCTGGCTGCACCTTAGTGGGGCTGGTTTTGCAGTTGGGTGGCTTTGGCTACTAACACATGGGAAAAGTGGTTGTCATGGCTGCTTGGCATGCACCCCACCAACAGGCTCTATTTCTCCTGGAGAATGGAGACATATTCACTGTAGCAGCTCCTCCAGCTTGCTGCTTCTTCTTCTGGGGCTACAAAACCCATTTGGCCTGGGTCATCCTGCATCACCTCTTGGAGAAAAGCATATATGTGTGTGTGTATACACGCACGTGCTCATGCATGCATATACCCCTGAGTCATCAATGACCACCCAGTGGTTCCCCCAGGCCCTCGGTCATTTGCAAACTGGAGAGGATGCTAAGACCTGCCACCCCAGCAAGGGTTTGTAGCTGCCATCCCTGTGTGGCAAGATGGGAGTGGGCTTCGGGTAGGATGACCTTCACTTTCCTTCCTCCTCCACTGATGGGAAGCCGCAAAGGATTTTCAGTGTTTCCTTCTAGCAAGAGCAGCTCTATGCTGCCTGTCTGCTGATGGAGGTACCTGGGAGCCTGACTCTTCTTGGCATTTCTTGCCATTCACGCAGCACACAATGGAGACAACATGCTGAATGCCAGGAGCCAATATGCATAACACTGGCCAGCACTGTCCTGTCCTCCTGTCCCTCCCCAGGCACCCAGCTTCTCTGGAGTGCCGCAGCTGGATGTCCTCTCTACCTTCCCTGTCTACCCTGAGCAATTACAGCTGGCTCCTTTGGTGCAAAGTCTGGGCTGCTACTGTCCCCCCAGATCAGCTGATGGAGACTTTCACCATGTACATGGGAACGTGACAAGCAGATCTGGCCCTGAAGAACATTCCCAAGATAGGGAAGCAAGAATAATGATAGGCAGGAACATCCTTGTCGCTACAGACTGTGTGATAATCCCCCTGCCTGCGCAAAATAATCCCCTGTCAATAGGCAGGAAATTAGGTGATAACAGACAGAGATTTCTTTTTAATCACAATTTAATGAGGTGTCTCAGGCTTGGACATCTGCCTTTGCATTTCATTTTACAGACCTTTATTTTGGTGCTTTTTAGGCCACCCCTTTGTCTTCATGTGGATACATAAGATCATCTTTTGTGCGTTTGGTAGTGTTTTTTTTCGCTATTACTACCATGAGAAAACAAGTACAATTCTACTCATTATGAACTGGGCCCACACATCAGCAAATAACAGCCAACAAAGTCTTTCATGGGTTCTAATTGCTGTGTTTTACATTGGGTTTGTTTTCTCCTCATTGTTTCCCTTTTACTTTTTTTGTATAAGGTTTGACACAGTCTCTTTCCAAAACAGGGAGAAGAAAGTGATATGTGGGATGAAAACCAGAGCATCCCTCCTAAGAAAGCTGGTGAGATGTCACCAGAGCTGCCCAGGGTCTCACTGCTGTCCCCAGGCAGCAACAGCTCCAGTGAGAACAGCCCAGTGCTGCCTGTCCAGGGTGCAACTGCTGCTGTTAAAACCCAAAACACCAAGATCTGGCTGCTGTGAAGCGTTTGGGCACATCAGCCCCTGTAGTGTCCCAGCAGGGAGTTGGGATTTCCATGTGGTTTGGGGAAGCCAAGGCATCCCCCTGAGCATCCCATGGCCTCCTGGTTTGCAAGGACAATAGGAGCAGGATTCACTTGATCAACATATGATGAATGGTTTCCATGGCAACTTGTCCTGGTTACAGCTGGTGACAGAGAAGTGAGTGACACAGTGACACCAAGTGACCATCTGGGCTATGCTGCCAGGTACCTCTTATATTTTAGCTCTGGCAGCACTTGAGAAAGCTTGGAACTCTCTGCTCTGCCTTCTCCAATCCTGGTAGCACATGACAGGCTGCTGGGATGGGGATGGCTCCCTCACATGGGACCCGAGGGCATGGTACCTGTCCCCAGCACACAAGCACCTTTTGCCTCTGTGGATTTCACCTCGTGGGTGCCCAGCAGGAGAGACAGCATCCCTGCCATGGGAAGCCACCACATGGGCTGTCCCCAGCACACCCCAGACACAGCCACCCTGCTGCTGGTGCCCACATTTTGCCCTGAATGAGACCAGTGGATTTGCTCAGAGAAGCAGCCCCATGCACCCAGGGCTGCGCAGCCCCAGGGTGCTGCCCTTTGCATCTGCCCCTGAGCTGCTCATGGGTGAAAAGGTCAAGAGGGACCTTTAGGGCTGCAGGAGAGTAAGGGACAGGGCAGGACACAGTGGTGGAGGAAAGCCCTGAGAGCTCTCAGGAAGCTGGGAAGGGAGTGTGCCAAAATCACTGTTGGTACAGGAGAAAACTAACAGAAGTTGCAGTATTATAGAAACATTTTTATGGTAAAATACCACTTGAACCAGCCTGAGAGTTGCCACTTTCAGGACGGTTGGTGTGTGTGGAATCCACTCCACAAGTTTCCCTAGGCAACACAACCTGCTATCATAGAGGAGCAATGGAGGGTGGAGCAGAGTGGAGACACCACGGCCGGGCTCTGCTGTACTCCCTGCAGACTGGGGACTGCGAACTTGGTACCATGCAGCTGATAAGCCACATAACAGCTGTCAGAGGGGAAATACAAGAGACGATGTCTGTTGCTGAGCCAGAAGCTGTGGAGAAATCAGGTCCCTTAGGTGAACCTTGCTAATTATAATTCATCATAATACTAACACACACTTCCATCCCAAAGTTACCCACATCCAAGGTATGACCACCCCTCACCAATCACATGCTTTAAACTTTTTATGATCTGTATCTTTAAATGAGAAGTGAAAGAATTTTATGCCATCAATAACAGAAGAATTGTGAGGCACTCAAGCTCCCCCTGAGAGTAAAGAAAAGTATAAAAGTGAATGAGAGGGGAGGGAAGATAAGGAAGACTCCATCTTAACTTCTGGAATCATTCAATGGGCTGAACCTGTCTTCTACCACCTATGGATGCCTATTGGGCAAGAACTTCATCTAATTCACACTAAATAACTCGCGCTAGCTGTTATTAGTGATTATAGTATGGTTGTGTATCACTTGTTTTTGTGATAGTTTTTGGATGGTTTTGCAGACAATCCCTATTACCAGCAATCACAAACCTTAATTTGTCATGATTTTATATTAATAAAGAGTGTTATTCCATAAAGTGCTAGTGTTAGTCCTTTGTGGGTGCCAGCAGTTGCTGACAGTGGGTAACATAAAGTGGGAAGACCCCCTGATGCTGTTGACATGTTTCCCTGAACAAGACAGTTGAATTGCCCTCACATCCAGCAGGACTGTTCAATCAAGGGTCCCTATAACAAGGGTCCCTATAACAACCGACATTGGTTGGCCACAAGGGTCTTGGCTTTCCGGGGGCACTGATAGACAAATCAAACATGAGGGGTTGAGAAAATCTCTTCCCCCACCCCCATTTCACATAACAGGGAAGCAAAGGGAAAAGCAGCTCTTTGCCTTTTGCTCCCTGCACACCATCTGCTGCATTTTCCCTCATCCCACAGAATCATCCTCATCCTCTCCCTCCACTTCCTGCACCAGAATCACTCTGGAAGTCAAGAGGAGGGCAGGAGGTGCTGCAGACCTGGCAGGATTGGTTTGCTCATCAATGGCATCCACGGCACTCTCCACAGAGCTCAGCAGTGACTGGGTCTGGTTAGCCGTCTCCTTCAGCAGGAAGCGGGTCACAAACTGGTCCACATTGCTGCCACTCTCGTACACCTGCCAAGGCAGACAGTGAGCATGGTGAGACCCACCACTGACCACCCAGCACCACCGGTGGTGCAGCATCCATCCAACATCCCATGCACAAGCTGTGTCCCCAACCACAAGGGCCACAGGAGGAATGAGCATGCACTTTCCCACCCCATGGGAAGCATCTTCCAACACCCATAGGTCACCCAGTATACCGCCCTCCATCATCCATCAGCCCTGGGACACACTTGTAGAGGCTGTGACAAGAGGCAGTGTGGGCAGCAAGGCACATCATTTTTATATCTATCAGCGGAGCAACAAAAAGGCGATTACCCAAAGCCCATCGTTGCTCACTTCACCGTGATCTTAAATATACCATTGCCTTGCAGGACAAGACACAGCAGGTGCAGGTATGAAAAGTGCCCCCTCCTGTGCTTTGGATCCCTGCTCTGAGAGCTTCAGCATGCTATTTAGTGCCTTAATCCACAGCAGCATGGTTGACCCAGTGCTAAAGTGAAAGTGGTTTTGGGATCATTAACATGGCTCTTCCCAGGCAGCTGCTAGATGAAGATGCCTTCAAGCCAGTGGCAGGGCCCACCAGCTGTGACACAAGAGCCTCAGCATATTTTGACATTAGGGTTTTTTTTCTGAAGAGGGAGAAAAGGAAAGTTCTGTCCATCTGGGGCCAAAGGCAGGGTGTAGTGGGAATGCCTTCACCAGGAAACATGCTGCTCCCGAGGAGCTTTGGTGAAAGAAGACAAGCTGTTCAAGCAACAGCAGCTTCTGGGGTAATCCAAACCCTCTCAAGACAGAAAACACTTAATAAAATGTGTTTTATTAAGCTGATATGCTTAAAGCACCCAGGGTCCCTTCCCCAGCACAGCCTTGCTGTGCCCTGTCCATGGCATGGTCCTGCTCCTCCACCTCCTGCCAGCCAACCAGCTGAGGCAGGAGACTGGCACAACTGGACCAATGCTGGCACAACCAGCCCAACATTGTCCCAACACCGTTCCAACACCAGCCCAACTCATCTGACCCCAGCCCAACCACACCAAGACCAAGCCACTGGCCACACCAGGTCTGGCTGAAGCTAATTATTTGGCATCAGAGCTGAATAAACTTACAGTGACAAAAAAAAGAAAGGCTCCTCTAAACCCAAACTTACTAACATCACTTTTCCCCAGTCTTTTCCCAACCCATCAGTGCCTGGTGGGACAGCATGTGGCCCAGACAAACCCCTGCTGGGTAGTCTGACGCTGTGTGGGTCTCCTGGCACAGGACTTCTCCAGCCTACATCTATTTGGACCAAAACCATCCTGTGATTCTGTTATTCTGTGACATGACATGAGGATGTATGCTCCCTGCTCCCTTCATGACACTGGCAATCACCAGACTCAGGGGTGAGAACAGAGCAGTGGCAGCACCACCAGTTATCTGACATGCAGCAGCACATGAGTATCCCAAGCTCCTCTGAGCAAATTATTCCTGAGTTATGGTGAAATGATTAATGAAGGTTATTTCTATGGCAACCAGAGCAGCTCTGCAAGAATCCAGAGGACCTTTACCTCCTGTATTAAATCATAAAAGAAAAATGAGATGAAGAAAAACACTTCTGGGGAAACTGGACACAGAGCTGATTTCTCACCCCTAATTTGGTAAAGGAGCATGAATTTCTTGATGGATTCTTAAGCATCAAACTAGTGCGGCAGTTAATGACTTGCCTTTAACGCAAAACCTTGTTCCTTCCCCCTCCCCACCACGGTGTTTCTGGGGGACACACATGATGTGGTGAGTATCGCCGAACAGTGATGCTGAGCCAAGCTGCCATGCAGTGTGCTGTATTCATGATCTCCTGCAGCTGCTTGCTCTAGCACTGTTGTGTGGCAGGGAGGAAGACATAAGGAGGGCAGGGATTGATGCTCTGCATTTCTTTTTCACCAGCACAACCCATCCCAGGGCACTGGTAAGACAGGGAGAGGACTGGCTCAAGGCACTCCATGGGCTGTAGTAGACCTGCATGAAGACCAAGCACTGGGATGCTCATCAGCAGCACACATGAGACCCTGCCACTTTTTGAGCCTTTCTCCAAGTAGGACCATGCTCTCCTTCACAGCCCCAGCACAGCATAGTGCACTACATCAGCAGTACCATTATCTGACGGTCGGGTCAGAGTGAGGAAAGCTGACATCAATGCAGGATATGAGGAGATGCATCAGAAGACCTCTGCAGGCTGGCTGCTCTTCCTTGCTGGCTATGCAGTTGCTGCTGGGCTTTTTAGACTAGGATGCTCTTGTCACCATGCCAAGCTCAGACATCTCCTGACCAGGTCCTGCCCAGTTTTTTCTCACCCTGTGTAGGCAGGCACAGTGATGAACATGCAGTCTGGGACCATGGGTGTGGCAGCTGCAGGAGAACAGCATCAGGGCCCTTCTGTGGGAGGCATGGGCACCACCAGAAACAGCAACAGAGCCAAGGGAATGATATGAAAACATTTGATGAGAATTTGGATTGGGAAAAAAATGGGGATGCAGTCACAAGTATTCTTGGATAGTTGAGCTATCTCTGCTCTGCCTAGAAAATACAATTTGTTCAGAATATGCAGTATACACTATATACATAGATGTGTGTATTCTTTCTAAGCACCATATTATATATATACTCATACATATCACATCTAAACAAGTCTGTATAGGCAGTGTATAAAATTCACTGTTCAGGGTACCCCATTCCTCATCTTCCTCAGCCAGTACCCTTGGAAATTGCCCCACACCAGGCCAAATCTGTCCCTTCACCCGGGCAATTATTTTATCATTAAATACATTTCCACTATCCACACTCTGCCTAAGGAGGGTGTATTAAACCAACATATCTCTTTGGCAAAGACATACTGCATTTGGGATCGGAAACAATTTCTTCTGTGGTTCCTGTGCTTCCACAGCTGCTCCCCCCCTTGCAAGCGCCTGCCTTCAGCTAGCAGTCTGCCCCTGATGAAGGCATAAAAAGATCAGCCAGGTGCTTAAGCAAGCTCTGGTATAATTACAGACTAACCCTCACACCCAACACTGCTCTGATTGCTGCCTCAGAGGAGGATGGCTGCTCATAGACTCAGACTCAGGACCATGTCCTTCCTCATGGGTTTAATATAGACTTGCAGGCCTCTGGGAGCTGCTGCTGCTAAAGGTGAAGCTGTGTGTGCTCCTGATTGGATTAGTCCTTTAATTAAGACTGAAGGTTTTCTGGGACATGATTTGCCCAGCCAAGCATGGGGGCTGGATGCAAGTGTGGGGCTGGCCAGAACTGGGGGCTGCACCAATGTCTCCCACTGCTGCTCCAAGTAATTTCCCTTTAATGCCCCTTTCCAGCAGGATCCAAAACACCACTACATTGTCATCCTCTAATAGTCACCCAGATCACATATCACATCCCCATGAATGCTCCAATTCCGTCAACTGATATTATCCCATGCTGTTTATCCCACTCAGCTTCCTATCCAGAGGTGTGAAGAGTGCACCACTGTTTCATCCATTTTAATCCATACATCAAACAAATGCAGTAGCGTGCTGCTATGTACCTCCACTTTTTTGCTCCTCTCCAAGACCCTACAGCCTGTCTCCTGCAAAAATGCCACCAAAAAATTCGTGATCAATCCCTCCCATACCTTGTGTGAACAGATTGTTCTCCCCCGCACGGGAGCCTGCCTCTTTTGAAAAATCCTATTCATGAAGGTGCAGGTGATGCTGGGTACTGCCTCATCGTATGGACTGGCTCTGGAGGATAGTTGCGAGAGTTAAATGCATAGTTAAATGTTGGGATTTTATTACCTAACTGCCTATCAAGTTGGTTCAGCTTTAGGAAAAATCATGAAGGTGATTGCCATGTTCCTTTAAATCAGCTTAACTCCCTACATTGGGATTTATTGGATGGAAGGATGTTGGGTACAAAGCTATGCCAGCTAGTGCAGAGGAATATCAGGGTGTCTGCGAAGATCTGATGTGTTTTGACAGGCCAGTAAGTACAATAGCTGGATCTGAAATGTGTGTACTCAAAAGGGTTTTCAGCAACCTCTCAGGATCTCCTCTAGCAAACGTCTTATTTGGTGTTGTGAAAATCAGCTCATTAAGAAGACTAGCTCCAAAGGAATCCTTCCCATTGTCTTATTTAAACATTTGTTTGTCTGTCCTAGGGAGATGTAATGAGGTTTGGTCTTACTAATTCCACCCTGAAGAGTCATTTCTTCCTTGCTTTGCTTGAGAAGTTAAAATACTTATGGAGATGATATAATAATTACTTCTCAGTGAAGCTGCTTTGTGCCAGAAGCTCGTGAGGGGCACATCTCCAAACCTGCTCTTTTCTGTTCAGCTAGTCCATTAGTTCAAGGCTAGAAAGAGTTTGCCCAGCCGCCTGGCCTTGATGTCTGCTGTTGCAAATGGGTGGCTGTGTGCATCTGCAGTGAGAAGCAAATGTAAAAGCCTGCTTAAAAGGGTGGCCTTGAGATGTCTGCAGGCGATAGCTCTTAGGACAGCCTTGGGAAACGCCACTGTTTGACAAACCAGGCATGAGCCAGAGACATTGAAAAATGAGAGAAGGAAAAGAGTGGGAAAAACACAACTTGTTTTAGCCACAGGTAATTGTGAAAAATATTGCCCAGTGCTGGGTCTTCTGGTCAGTTGACTGAGGTGCAGGCCTCAAATCCCACTCCTTCCCTCACATCACAGGCTTTTTATGTGCCTGTCATGTACCTTTCCACACACAGTGGTAGTACACATTGTGACGCAGGCTGCTCGAAGCCCCACCACAGCTCTTCCAGCTTTCCATTTCCATATGCACCTGCCTCAAACCTGCCCAAATTCTGGCACAAGTTAAAGAAAACACCCTTGGTATGTGTTACCTGTGCAAACTGCTGCTGGCATTTTGAGGCCATTGACTACTTGCACTTGTCAACACCAGTGTCAAGCATCCCTTACGAGGCATTGCAAACTAATGCCTAAAACTGGGCACTCATGGCCAGTGTTGCTGTGGGTATCAAA